GACGGTGCACATCAGAGTAAGGCATGCATTCCTTCAGTTAGCAGCTAATGCTGTGTCTCCCCCGCCAAGACTCTGGGGCAATTGTGCCTTCCCTAAACAGACCAACGTGGATGAAGGAAGCAATAAACACTACCCAGAAGCAAAGTGCTGGAACAGAACCCAGGAGTAAGGAGTCTAGGGTGGAGGGAGGCTCCCATGAGCACCAGGCCAGGTGGCGGAAATGGGCCAGGGGTTCGATCAGTTAGAAATCTTAAAGCCCAGAAGTTCCAAATCATTAGTGTTTTTTAAGCATCATTATGAATTCATGAATGTAAATGTATTTGATATATTTCAACCCTGTACATTTATTATCCTTATTGATGTATGAAGAGCCCTATTTTTGGCCAGTGAGAGCCTCTTGAAGTTGACTCCTGAGTTCCTTAGACATGATCTTAGTAGTGTTTGATAGATTCACTGCTATCTATTATGACAAGATAATCCAGAATCATCTTATACATTTCCTGTCTCATATCTGAGTTCCAAGTGAGTTAAGGTCTAATGAATGTGATGCTATAAACTTAGGGGATCCTGTGATGAATTTTGCTTGTGTAAACTGAAGCTCCCTTATCTTCAGAATATCAGAATTAAAAAAAAACAATTCCCTTAACAATCAAACAGCTCATTTTACAGAATCGGAAGCACACACTTAGAAATATCAAGTGATTTACATATGACTCACAGAGCTGTGACAGGGATGGAGAGAGCTATAGCCCAGGAACAACTTTAAGTCCGTTTTTTTAAGTCACCAAGAGACAGGCTGGTTCCTAGAGATAGCAGAAGAAGGAAGCAGTGAAGACTTTGGAATTCTACTTAGTACAAAGATCCGGTCAGCAGCAGGTGCAAGCAGTCCATTGCAGCCATCTCTGCCCATTCTGGGAATTCAAGTCTTTGAGCCCCCCCCCCCCCCGCAGGGAACTACTGAACTTAGGTGGATTAGAAGTCTTCAGGATAAGAGATCCACCCAGCACTCTCTTGTGTCCAATATCAAATTTGTTTCCCAAAGCTTTAATTAAGCTGTAGGAATGTTTGGAGTCAGAAGGCTCATGTCCTGGCATTGGATCTGCCTCTACATGGCCCTATGCAGTGCATGGTAACACCGTTCACCTAGAGCAAAAGCTAAAAATAAAGAGTGCCCTCAAAGTTTCCAAGTCAGGAAATTGAAATCGACTCCCAGGAAGCTCTATTTTTAATAAGTAGTCCTATCTGCACAGCAAAGGAAAACTATCAACAAAATGAAAAGGAGAAAAGATTTGCAGGTCATCTAATCTGACAAGGGGTGAGTATAAAAAATATGTTAAGAACTCATGAAACTCAATAAACACAATAAGAGAAAGAACAACTCAATTAAAACATGGCCAGAGGACCAGAATAGACATTTTTCCAAAGAAGACTTGTAAATGGTCAACAAGTATAGGAAAAGGTGCTGAACATAACTAATCAACAGGGAATGGCAAATAAAACCCACAAGGAGCTATCACCTCACACTTATTAGAATGACTATCATCAAACTAGTCAGAAAAAGATGACTAGTTTTGGCAAGGATGTGGAGAAAGAGGGAAACTTGTGTACAGCTGGTGGGAATATGAATTGGTGCAGGGGCTATGGAAAATAGTATGGTGGGTCCTCAAATTTTTAGAACTAGAATGACCACGTGATCCAGCAATTCCAATTCAGGCCATATATCCAAAGGAAACAAAATCACTATATGGAAAAGATATTTGCACTCCTGTATTCATTACAGCATTATACAATACAATAGCTAAGACATTAACAGATGACTGGGGAAGTCTCCATTGATAGACAAGTGAATAGTAAGTGTATATAACTAAATTGGAATATTATATAGCCATTAAAAAGAAGAAAATCCTGTCTTCCTGACATATGATGAACCTCAATAACCTTATGTTAAGGAAAAATAAGACAAAAACAAATAATATATGATTTCATTCATTTGTGGAATCTAAAAACACTGAATTCATAGAACTAGAGCAGATGAGTTATTTCCAGAGGCAACCACCAACCAGAGCAGATGGGGGAAATGGATGAACAGAAATGAACTTGGCACTTCTCATTCTAAAGCCCTTTGCACTAAGACTCACTAAGCTTCTATTCATAATTCTAGGTATAACATAGATAAGCCAGGGGAATAGAATGATGGCTATGTTAAAAATACTGCATTATATATGTGAAAGTTGCTAAGAAAGTAAATCTCAAAAGTTCTCATCACAAGAAAAAATTGTTGCTGTGCGTGGTGATAGATATTAATTAAATTTAATGTGGTAATCATTTTGCAAATACATGTGTTGTACATTCTAGCCAATGTAATATGTCAATTAAATCTCAATTAAACTAAAAAATCAGTAATCCTAGGTGGTTCAGAAATACAAACACAGTTAGATGGGAATGACTAAACCAGATGTTTTCTTTCCATCTAAGAACTCTCTGGGAAGAGGGTTTGATGTCCAGAAGAAACAGAATATCTGTCTACCTCTTCTCTGATCAAAGATGCCCACGTCCGTCTTCCCCAAAATAAAGAGAACTGAGACCTGTGCACTCTAGTCTGGCTGTCCCCAGAATTTCCCTAAACTTCCCTTCTGCTGGCTCTCTACTTGACACTCATAAAAAACTAGTCCTGACATTGAGGTATCCCATGTATGCACGCACAAGCGTACACAAAGACACAGAGACACACACAGGACTGTGAACCTATCTACTGAGTAGTGAAATGCT